CGGTCAATGAACAAAGCTTCATCTGTATTTGCAGCCGCTCCCCAGCGCTAGCATCACTGCCTCAGCTCCACCTCAGATCATTAGGCATTGGATTCTCATAAGAGCACTGGTCCCTGGTGTCAAAAAGGTTGACCACCGTCTTAGAACATCCCAGCTTCAGAGCTCCTAGTGGGATCAGCTGAGGTATCTCTTGCAAAGCACCCCAGTTCTATCTCTGCCCTGACCCTGCAGGGGTTCAGAGCAAGCCTCCCCCAAATACCACTTTGGTACATGAATTATTTTGAACTGAAGGCAATTAAGACCCTACAGGTTCACAAGAAACTTTTACCTTTCCTTTATAGAATTTAAATTAGGGGACTTGCCCATAAAATGCTATCACTGGAAATAACTTTTTTTGACCTATCTACAGGGAAGGGCAAACCATTAATTACTGAACATCTGCTTTTTATTGTCCTGCACTGACCTTCCTCCCCTCCGAAGCTGCAAGGCGCCTTATCTCATCCTTAGCTCAAAATGTCATATATACCTCATTTTCCCTTTCTGTCCCTGAAGCTCTCATGTATGTGGGGTTCCCATGTAATTCGATCTGGTCGTTTTCTCTTGTTAAGCTCTCTCATGTAGATTCAATTGTTAGACAGGTCAAAAGAACCTTATGGGGAGTTTCTTTCTCTCCCACACCCCAATCCCGTTTCCTTCTCCCCAGTAAGGCACCTCGCATGCAAATCTCAATTCAGGATCTGTTTTGGGGTGTCTGGCCTATAAGAAAGCCCTTTATATATGAATGGGGATGAAGAAGGAACATGGCCAGAGGGGTGCGAAGGGCAGTCGCATTGCTGCTACTTTTGGGGCCTCATGGAACATTTATAGGTTCAATGGATACGAAGACTGCAAATCCAATCACATAACCCCCCATCCCCCGCCCCCCTCTGCCCTCCTGCACCCTGCGCACCCCACCCCTTTAAAACTCCTCAGCGACTCCCTACTGCCTGCGGCATGCTTTTTTGCTCCTGGGCATGGCTTGTGAGCTCTTTTGTAATCTGGCCTGACCACCACTGCAGGCAACTCTTTCTCTCCCTTGCTCTCCAGGCAAACTATCTGCAGTTTTCCAAACACCAAGCTGTCCCCCACCACCCTACCTCTCCACAGCGTCCACGCGAGCTGCTTACTGTCCTGGAAGCTCTTTCTTCCCCTGGGCCACTTGCAGTCCCTCTGCATTGAAATCTTCTGTCTCCTCGCTCCCCTCTGGCCTGGATATTCCAGGAGGCTCAGGCCAGGTCGTAGTCATCTGCCTCTTTGGGGCCCAGAATCATGGTGTCTTAGGCTGCACAATAACATCACGGCAGTGGCTGATTCATTCATTCGTTCAATATTTTTTTATTATGATAAACTACACATAACATAAAATTTACCATCACAACCATCTTAAAGTGTACAATTCAGTGGCATTTCCTATATTCCCAATGCTGTCCACCCATCACCACCATCTAGTTCCAGAACATTTTCATCACTCCCAGAGGAAACCTGCCCCCCATCAAGCATTCACCCTTCACTATCCTGTCCTCCCAGCCCCTGGCAACCATTAATTTACTTTCTATCTCTGTGGATTTCCCTGTTCTTAATATTTTATATAAATAGAATCATACAACGTGTGGCCTTTTGTGTCTGGCTTCTTTAGTTCCCAATGTTCATGTTATAGCATGTAGTGGTACTCCATGCCTTTTTATGACTGAATAATATTCCACTGCATGGGTATATCACATTTTGTTTATCCACACATCAGTCGATAAACATTTGGGTTGTTTCCATCTTTTAGTTACTGTAAATGAACATTCACACACAACTTTTTGTTTGGACATCTGTATTCATTTCTCTTGGCTATACCTAGGAGTAGAATGGCTGGGTCATATGGTAACTCCCTGTTTAATTTTTTGATGAACTGCCAGACTGTTTTCCACAGTGGCTGCGCCATTTTACATTCCCACCAGCAATGTATGAGGATTCCAGTTTCTTCGCATCTTCGATGACACTTTTTTGGGGTTTTTTTATGGCCATTCCAACGTGTGTGAAGTGGTGTCTCATTGTGATTTTGATTCGCTCAACACATATTTTTGACTCTCTACTGTGTGTCAGTCACCACATTAGGCACTGGGGATACTACAGAGAGCAAAATGGATGAAAGCTCTGCTTTTGTGGACATTCCATACCAGTGGGGGGATGACACGGGAGAGTGGAGTTAGGGGCCCTACCAGCACCAGTTAGTAGGGACGTCAGTGGCACTGGGTTGCAGTTAGGGAAGAAGGAAAAGAGAGCTCTTTGGGCCTCTTCGACCCTGCTCACCCAGGCCGGGCGGAGCGGAGGCTGTAAACTCAGAAGCTTACGGGCACGGACGGCCAGAGGAGAGGCAGAAGGGCGCGTGCACGTGCATCTGTGTGTGCATTGTGGGGGTGCTGTGGTGAACTGGGGTGGGGGCACTATCATGGCCTCAACAGGCAGATGCTGTTTAGCACCGGTTTCTTATTGCCAAGTAGTAAAGGAGACCCAGGCCTGGCCACGCTCTGGATGGAAGTACGATTTTTATGTGACATTTTCCAAATTTTACACAATAGCACAGACATTTCTGAAACACTGCCTGAGGGTCAGTTTTGGTGAACTGTCCACCGGGTTGTGATTCTGACCTGGATTTGTCCCAGATGCAGAGTCCCATTCAAAAGGTCAGAATCTCTCGTGGGCGCAGATCTGGGAACCTGCCTCCGTAACAGGCCTCCTCTCTGACACCCACCCCGCTTCCTGCGAGCCGGTGGTCTGGCGCCCACTGGAGTTTGAAAACAACCAAACCGGAGCTGTGAGGAAGGCAGCTTCCCACATGGTAGTGGAGGGCTGGGCAGGCAGGATCACGCTCCCTGTTTGTGCTGGCTGCAGGACCCGCGTCCTGGTCCCAGTTTCTCAGGGCACACAGCCATCCAGAGTATATACTTCCCTGTGCCAGGAACAGGGGTGGGGCGGAGAGGGGCCCTGCAGGCAGAGCGCGCCCCCTCCCCAGCCCGCTCTGGCTCTGCACAGCCCCACGTGCCTGGATGCCTGGCCCAGTGGCGTTTACCCTAGTGGGCAGCTCGATTGCAAGTCCTGATGCCTGTAGCCTCCTCGTGAACTTTCTCTGGATGGAAACCCTTCCCCGGGAGATGGCCCAAATGGAGATGTGCAGTTCTAGGAGAAGGCAGATGTGGCCTATGAACAGCCTAGGGGCTGCCACATGGGTGTTAAGCAACATGTTTGTCAGTCTCTTGCTTAATTATCACAACTGCAGTTAAAACTAGCAGTTTGGGGTGTTGGCTCTGAAAATCCACAGGGCCTTCTTTCAGGATGCGAAACCCCCTGGCCTCTGTAGGTGTTTATTCTGAAGCCGCCGTGACCCGGGTTCACCTGATGACTGGGCTGCTCTGTTAGGTTAGTGTTCCAACGCCGTATTTACAGGTTCCTGTCGTTCAAGAACTCCAGCCGGGGTCCTTCCCCTCTGTGTCTCCTGTCAGCTCTCTAGAGGCAAGGCGTACAGAAGGAGCGAGCAGGTTCCGGCAAAGAGAGTGACATGGAGGACAACATAAGTCCGAGGCTTGTCTTCATGGGAATAATGATCAACGGGATTCATTCCATTCACCCCAGCAGCCCCCAAATGCTCGCTTACACGTTACATGTAAGGAAGGAGCTGTGGGTGATCTCCCCAACAGGAAATAACAACGAACAAATTAATAAGCTATGCTTCTGTTTCTTATCCCTAAAGTATCTAATTAAGTAAGGTCTTCTGCCTAGATTACTTTCAGTAAACATATTTAGTTGTTCAGAACCATAATCAACATAAAATATAACTAATGTAAAGCTGTATCGTAGTTTTCATACCTGTAATAAACTATCAAATTTAG